GCCCTGGGAAGCAGGTAAGAGCTCACACTTTTTGATTTAATTTACCTTCAAGGAAGTTTAAGTTTGTACACATCCAAGACAGGTAACAGGTCTTGCTTGCCTTATTGGGTAAGACTGGGGCACTCTTCTGGTCAAGGAGAGAATGAAGACAGACTCAAAAAGGCCAGGCCTCCTGCTTCTGGAATGCCTGCTGGCATCACTGCTCATGGCCTCCCTCTAAAACAGAGCAAACCCTGAAGGGAACAAGCAATGTGCTACATTCTGTGCACTAGATCAACTTTCAAAGCATAAGTGTCAGCAGATCATCCATACCCTTCCACTGACAGTTTCCTCTTGATTAGTTCTAGCAGCACCTCACTCCATGTATGTCATCACTCTGAGGGAGCCAAATGCCTGGCCCTGCTTAAAACAAATCCCATGAAACACGAACTGGCTTTAAATCTACAGGTGACTACACAGTATCATGACTTTCAGACATATTTTTTTATTCTCTCAAACTCAAGTTTTGATGACCATGAATTCTATTAAGCTGATGGCTAGAAAGAAGAAAGGAAAATGGATCCTTGCATAGGGTTTTTAAGAAAACAGACCAAGTATGTCTTTTGAAACTCAACTGAAACTGTTCAACATAATGTGAAAGACTACCAGAGAAGCAATACACTTTATACCATATATACCTAGTAAGTTATAGATTATATAACCAACACTAAAAGACAGGCAACAGCATGACCTGTCAAGATTCAAATCTGCCCTCAAACCACTCCTCTTTACTGACTGTTCACAGCTACACGGCCACTGTTCTCAGCTGCTGGAAAAACTCAGTTTGACACACATGAGAACCACCAGCTCTCACCAAAAGGTGATAAATACAGTGTTTGCCATTCAATGATTATGTTAAGAACACTGCCTCTTTCAGATGAGAACATGCCTAACAGTCTCCTTAAGTATCCATTGCTCCTGTAAATACCAATTTATCAAGTGTTTGGTTGGATAAGAGTCAGACTGAAAGAACTGATGCCTTGGCTATACAGACACTGGAAAGTGTTTTGTCCATCCTACATTACTTTCCAGAGTACTAAAATACATGATTTTCTGTTCCTGGTATACAACACCACATCAAAAATTAGGAGAGCAAAATTTACAGAACACCAGTGTATGATTTTATCTCAGTGGAAGAAAGGACACACAAAGCTAGACTAGCCCTCCTCAGTATGAAATACCAGAGGAGATTTCCCGCTAGTCAGAAGCCCTAGAAAGGGTTCCCCATACACCAAGTTTGCCAGTGGTTCAAGTGTAAAGTTTGTACTTGATATTGTAATAGACAAGTAATGCATACTCCTATCACCTTCTCCAGCTGAGGAGGAACTATGGGGTTAGTGCAAGCTGTTTGTTACTCCAGCCAAAGCAACCAAACAAATGAGTATTTCAGTTTTGCTTAAATCACCACTTATAGCTTTGAGTGGTGGGCCCCAAAGAAAGCGCAGAAATGAAAGGTGGAAGTAATTCCCAAACTATTAGAACTGTTTCAGAAGTGAACTTTTGGCTTGCTTCATACTACTTCTGAGGTTTAGTCCTTCACTTCTCAGATGCATATGGAAGGCTGGGCTTACTGGGAAGACTAAGGGAGCTTTCAAGTCTTGTGCTGTGCTCCTGGACAGCTGGTGGGAGCAGCACCAACAGATGACTATGTCAGATGCACAGCTTCTCTGAGTACTGTGACACGATTCTTCCTCAAACACGTGACAAGTAATCATCAATACTGAACTAAACAGTAATCTTGTTCATTAACATATGCACATTTAAGCTATTTTAAGATAAAGAACACAAACCCACAACTCCAGTACTTCAAAAAAGGAGGCCAACTAGCTATCCTCCTCATCTACCTCTTTACTTTTGCTGTGTGTTATTTTCTTCCCTTACTGATGCAATTGTAAATTCCACAGAATGGAGACAATAAGAAATGCACATCCAAGCTACACATGTCTGGTTACTTTTAAGATCATATTTATTCACCCTCCCTCTTTAAAACCACATACACACACACACACATACAGAGGTTCATCGAAGTCTTGCGTTGTTTTAAAATTATTATACCCAAACACTGTTTGGATCCTTCCTCTTCTTTTGCCTGACAACTTTGAAAAATGCTGTTTTCTTATTAGCTCAGAAGTGCAGTACAACTTACCATAAGCAAGTAAAGATAATTTCAGATTTGTAATAAGAGAAAATACTCAGCGAAAGAGCAACTGATTCTGGAGAGTATGTTTTCATACACTGTGATATCTCAGATTAATTAACTCTAAGTACTTACCATATTGTAGGGCATAGACAGTCTTAACATATTTATCTCAAGGTACAAAGAATTTATGCCCAAGAATCAATACTATGTTGCAACATTGTTTTTAAAATTAACTTTTTCTAAGGATAAGAATGATCTTCGAAGCATAACTGAAAGATATCAGCTTATAAAATGTATTTCTCTGTTGATCAATTTCTGTACTCTGCTTCTTATTTGGAAAAGTGATGTACTCATTGAAAGGCTTCTTAGAAAGTAATGATACTCTCTGCTTTGCAAACAGTTTCTTATGTTATGGTGACTTAAGTACCTTTCGTAGCTCCAGCAGCCCTGTGTGTATGAACACACTGAAATGCAGGTACACACTTTCCTTTCCTAGAATAAGACAATCAATCTGAAGACAAATTAAAACGTGATAGAAATACATTTTCAATTAGTACAGTAAGAATGATCAGTAACACTCAGTACTAGAGGTAACATGCATTTTGATATTAGACATGTATGAGACGTATGAAATCATTATGTTTCCAGAGTCAGCTGTACAGTTTCCTATAAACCAGCAGGTCATACATGTCAATAGGCTCATGACAAATAAATATCTTTCTCTTTTTACAATTTGCCTCTCCTGTCAATACCCTTTAGCACTTAGTATTTTGAACTGACACTTGCCAAAGGTATTTGTTGCCAGGCTGAAGCACTACACCATAAGCTGCATCCCTGTGTGCCAGCAATGATTTCAGTGACAAAACCCAGCTACAGAGGTCTGAATATTTGCACTACTTTTTTCCTTAGGGGGAAGGTGTGACTTATAAAGTAGAATTCAAAACGTTTCCCAGTTATAGCCACATTTCCCAAGAGGCACTGAAAAGACCCAGTTTGTGTGTAATTATGAAAGACACTGTCGGGGGATGCCAACTGCACTGAAATATATGAATGTTTTTAACATGCTAAACATGTCTCAACTCAGCAGCATGCTTATCTGAAACCCAAAATACTACTTTTGATGGTTTAGCAATGCAAAAATTCAGAGATAAGGTAATGCTAAAACCTTGCACGTTTGGGCTAGAGCAGTGAAGTTCTTGTGTTGTCTCCGAAATGATTCTGAAAATAAAATTTGTCAAGTCTTTTTCAGAATCAGCCTTAAAATTTTGCTACTGCAATCTATATTTAAATAAACCTTTTATTAACCCTTTTATGAAGAAACAAGCTTAAAATCTGTTGACTCATAAACAAGATACAAGACAAAACACATTTGTTTCCAGAAGCTTTGGTTGTCACTGTTTGTTTTCTGGAGAAATGACCTGATGATTCAACATTCAGGCAATATTTCTTCTCTTTTTTGTATTGTGTCATAGAATATGACCTTATTTTTGTTATAAGTAATGAACGATTTTTTAATGAAGCACAGATATGCTTGCTTCACACTGAAATAGATTAAAAGTCACTCCAGTCAAAATCTGTGCTAATGTGTCTCCTGTTTATTACACTTGGTGACACTTAACACTTTTGCTGTCTCCCAACACACAGAGACAACTCTAAACTAACACTTGAGACAATGACTTACTGCACCATATTATAATCAGTTAAAAACCCCTCACTTCTTTAAGACATAAATCCATGTAAAAAATCTGTATCTTAATGTAGTGGGATAAAATACCATAAATATGGAAGAAATGTTTACTGACCTTCATCATTTATTGCCCTTTATTCATCCTCAGCAAAATCCACATCAGAAAAACATAGTACCATTTCTTGATGCATTTCCTAGTTAATTATAGAAAGTTTCCTATATCCTCCAGATAACATATGAATGCAATGCCACTTAAGAAATAAGAGACAGCAATAATCTGAGGGTTAGAGAGAAACCTTTCATACAGTGAAGAACTAGAAAAACAAAAAAGGAAAAAGCTCCCTCCAAGGGATTTTTTTCTCTAAAATTAATTCTTGATCTGTGGACTTGTAGTAAGTGTTATCACACAATCTAAAAAAATATTGCAAATAGTATATATCTACATATATATTTTCATATGCACACAAATAAAATTTGGCAAAAATAGAACATTTAAAGTTAACTTAATATTTATCCTATCAATCATAATTGCAAGTATAGCCACGAGGAAGCTCTTTTCTGCAGCAGGGATTCAGTGTGTTCAAACTCTCAATGCTCTTAAACTCCAGTTACTTCCAGTGGTAGAGCTAGTACCTTATAAAATTATACTTGGCTTATGTGAGAGTGAACAGTCACCATGCCAACCCTGACGAACAATACAGGACATGAAACAGCCCGTGGATCTCTTGTCCCACCCAAATAGCTGGAAATCTAATTGGGGTAGAGGAAAACAAAACACAACCAAAACAACCATATGAGTCAAGAGGCTGCACGGGCTTATGTGGAAACAAACACAGGTACTGATCTCCGTGTAGTGTTTCTACCTAATACATTAGTGAAAAAAACAGTTTTCAGTTACCAGTCTGGTATATGTTTTCCCATTAAGAAGGTGGTTTCACAAGCCACTGAACTATATCTTTGATGTTTGTGATAACTATTCCTAACTGTTTGTGAACTACACTATTAAATCCCCTCAAGTGTCAGTTTATTTTCTCTTGTAACTTATTCCTACAGTGCGAGATTAACAGACACAGAGTAGGCCTTCAGGCACTAAGAATGTAAATCAGCCTAATCTCAAGAAAACAAGATGTGCACTTAACCATAAATATTTTTTTTATAATCACATCAAACATGACATACCTGGTATTCAGTTTTATATAAATTAGTTCTTACGTCAGATCTACTTCTGAGGTTATCCAAAACCCAAACACATAACATTATTTTTACTCTTCAGGCCTGAATAATATTTACAGACATTAATGCTATATCCAGCTCTACAATCATTCGAGACACATTATATAACTTTATTTTTTTATTTGACAAGCAGCAGTATCATGTTCGTCATTTTTTTTTACATTTTAATGTAGATACAATTATTAGGTTATCTGTCATATTACAATATTTAGGTTTTTTGTGTGATTTTTTTTTTTTTACTTTGTCTTAAGATACATTAAAAAACATCAACTGCAAACGTGAAAGGGGAGGGGGAAAAAAAAAAAAAGCATGGTACCCAACCAATTCATCACATTTCAGCAATACTTCACTCATTCTTTTAGTAAAGTTTTAAGAAATGTCATAATGACATGAGCTTGAAATATCTATAGGCATTTTCATTGACGCTCATGACATGGCACTGGTGATGTTGTAAACAGCAGAAAAACAGGGGCTGCCAAGTGACCAATTATGGAGGCACAGGCCTGCCTCTTCCCACAGGAACACACCAAACAGTGACAGCAATGATCTCCTTACAATCATACCTGCAGGATAGCAACATCATGCTACATAACTGTATTCGTCTGCAGAGGCCTGGCTTCGCTCTATGTACTGTTTGTCTATCAGAACTTCAATACACTTCTTAATCATGCTGATACTTGGGTTAAACCTAGCTCTTGATTGGCTGATTACCTGCAAAAGAAAGACATAGTTTTTGTGTTAGTTTTGGTTTTCACAGTCAAAAACTGCATCTAAATATTTGCTAAGAGCTTTAAGGCAAATTCAGTATGCTTTTCTTTTAAACACAGAATTAAATAACCCTGGAGTAGTCAACTTATAACAATCAAGAAAGCATCTTTATGCATTAGTGTCAGGACACTGACTGCTGAGCTCACTGGTTAGTTTGGCTGCATGTTCCCCAGATCTCTTCATTTCTCTTGCTTGCTTCATTTGTCACAGTACAAATGAACACAAATACCCATGTTAAAAATTAATCTAATATAAACACATCTGTTCACTATTATCATAGTGGAGTTCTGCTACCACTGATCTCCTTTCCTATACAATTGGAGACAATCAGGGTGAACCTCTATTCCTTCAGTCACTGAAGACAGATACACAATTTGGTGAGTTCCATCTGCCTAAGCTGGAACTTTGTAATACATGCAGTAAAAATTTATTTACTGTAAAAACAAATCTATATTTGCATTGTGGAAGAAACTACCACTGCAGGCAAAACTTTAGTTCTCTTGATAGTTCTCAGTTTTGCTCATTCTCCTGTAGAGAAGAAGAGGAAATCGTGAGTAGTAACAGATCATGCAAATCTAGAACTTGAAAAATTTTTTAAACAAAATATCTTACTACTCAAATGTCACAATATATTTTGCCTGTAGTTTTGAATTTCTTCTGTAAAGAAAGTGATCTTTATTTCAGCTGGATTTCCTGTTTTCTTTACAACTTCTCACAGTTGGCTTTGTCCCAGCTCTAGAGTTTGCTGGAGCCCTCTGTGAGCCAACAGAACTCACCAGGTGGAACTCACCCAGCAAAGCAAACAAAAAGCTCAAAAGAGCGAGTTTTGTTGGGCTTGCAGCCAAGGGTCTGGTACGTTCCACAGCAGCACAAATGAGGAGAAAGCGGGTGCTAACAAACTAATACATCTGCTCAGGTTTCACCTAACTTCAGCCCTACACTCAAACTGATTGTCATCATCATACTTCATGTATTTACTTAGGACAGAGAGAACAAAAGGGTTTGTATTGCTAAGGGCTTTTTCTGATTTGTTTTTGTTTCCTCAAAGGTAATACAAATAAGAAGGATAGACAGAAATACCTATGGTCAGAATAAAAACTTTTCTGGGAACGACTGCACTGACCTTTCCCCTCCACTACATCCATGGACTTACTTGTTTTATGGGAAAAGCTACCTCGTCCTGCAGGCACTGCAGCATAGAGCTAGAATTGAAATTATCAGGGCATATCTAACACAATTAACAATTCAGACAAAGACCATTTGCTGACATATATAGGTCTACCAGGGGCCTGGACTGTTTTCTTGGACACCTCACCCTAAACAAAATGTGTGGGGCTGTAGTCTAACTGTTAAAATCAGAGCCAACTACATTAAGGTTAGGAGTCTCTCAATCATATATCTAACAACAATATAATCCTACCCTTATAGCTAAAAAAAAGTAATGTTAATGAGGTGAGAAAATATTAACTCTTTGTAGTACACAGACTCCTTCTAAAAAGATTCATTTGTATTCAAGAAGTCAGACAGGAAAGTTTAAGTGAATACATTATGCATGTACATAAACAGCATGATAAAAGTAACAACGTCACCAGAATTAGTAACAATATTGCAACTTTACTCACTACTTAGTTTTTAACTGAGTAACTATCAAAATATCTCCCTTTCTTGAAAAGCTAAAGAAAAGGCTCCTGATGCTAATAGACTATTCTGCAAGACCACTGCAAGAGCAAAAGACAGCAGAGGCACATAAGATAGTGGCCCTTCCATTAAACAAAGGAAGAAGCAACCAGAAAGGATTTGTTTCCAAAACATAAAAATTTGTAATCTATTTCAGCCTTATGAACTGGTGTCAAGAAAAGTACATTTTGGAATCTTTTTCTAATAATTTGAGTGGGGAGAAAAATATTTTCAAAGACGAAACAAGGCTTGCCTTTCTAGTTTTATTTGTAAATTCTTACAGGACTTCATCATAACTGCATGGATGATTTAAATAACAGGAAACCAAACAGCCAAAGATTTTGAGAAGAATCAGGACCTATGGTGCCTTACCTTTTAGATATTCAATCTAAGAGTAATTGTGTACAAGCACTACTTCAATATCCAAAACTTTTAAGATATCTCACATTGCAAGTTCTGGGCTTACAAACTCTCTGTACCAGCTTATTTTTTTTTTAAGAAATAAAAATTAAATGGTGGGTGTACTAAACTATTTCCTCCATCACCACAAATTACTCAATGCTTCTCCACCTCCATCCTCAAAACGGTTGAATAAAGCAGGAATCTTTATTCCTCCTCCCACCAGTCTGCTCTGAGGCTTCCAGCAAGGCTCAGGGACACAAGAGTGAACTAGATTGAAGAAAGAATGCCTTGGAAGGTTGAGAAAACTAAAACTGGGAACCGGCTGGTGGGAGCAAAGGTTGGAACAAAAAATACAATTAGGCAGGAGACCGACAGATGGAAAAATGGGAGAAAAACCAATGACATAGCACTACCTTCCCAGCCAGCCTGTGACAATTCACAGATCATTAATCCAGAATCTAAAAAATCTAGAGAACTGTACCACCTAATGGAAAAGGGAGGTTAAAAAGTGCATGTCTTCATACTCAGACAACTTTTAAAATTTAAGCCATGTATTATAAGAGCTAAAAATTGGCTAGGTGCTTCTGTGCAAATTCCATACTTAGAATATCCATACTCAGGTTTTCAACTGTAACTATAGCTCTGGCAACATTTCGTATAGGATACAGTATCTGTTAGCATAGAACCAGCCAAGAGGAAAGAGCAAGCACTTAATGTTTTAGTGGTAAGACACATTTACAAGACTGAGGGATCCCAGCTGGTGCTCCAGTACTGCAGTTCAAAGCAGATCCCAAGAAAATCCTCACTAATTTCACTGGGGTATTAGTTTCAGCACAGGAGAGTTCTGTGGTCAGATGTTTTACCCAACTCTCCAGAAGATTTTCATCAAATCAAGTTGAAGAGGAGGACTTTCTCTTACCTCCTGAATTAGAGCATTATGTCGCAACACCTTACGTGCTTTCATGATACGGACTATAGCAGCTTGGAGATACATTTTTCTGTCTTCATCTACAGCACTTCTGGTCTGCTCCATCTCCTGGGATATAGCAAGAACATTAATGTTTAAAATATAGTACGACTAATAAACACTTCATAAAAGGATCTGGAACCTACACATTTTACTTTACTAAAAGTGGTCAACTAATACAAAAATGCAGGAGAAGTTCAATTCCAGGCAAAGTAGTTCCATAAATCAAGAATATGAGGTTTCTTTAAAGTCAGTAGGAAGGTAGGACAGGCATCCCAACCACCAACTCTGCTAGGGAGAAAGGCAGGTAGAATTTACTATAATGTATTGAGTTTGGCAGCACATACATATCTTGCACAAAATCCTATGTCTTAGGAGATACAGGATTATCAACACAGGAGTTAATTTTACTTGCCGAAAGACAAAAATCATAGGAAAATATTTGATTGGTTCTGCTGTTCCTGGAATAAGTTGCTTCTGCAAACACCACCAATAAAAAAGTCTCATGAGATAACACCACCAACAAAAAAGTCTCATAAGACAAGCTAAATGTCAATCCCTTTTGGTACATTTTGTTTATCTTTTCCTTCTGCCTTCTTGTTCCCTATTTTATCTTCTCCTGCCTGTATTTTAAGTACAAAAAAAATTGCAGTGCTTAAGTTTTAAACTCACACAATTTCTTTATGGTTATGTAAATCTTACTCGGTGAATCTTACATCTGCTTACACCAGACTAACACAATAAATTCCATTTTAGAGAAATAAGTTTCTAAGCTGTTTGAGCTAGAAACACCAAAGAATACTCACCTGTGGTGTGTCTTTCTGCATTGATGTTGTAATTTTAAATTTTGTTCGTTTACTGCTGAAGTTCATATTTAATGAAAACGTAGACTCTGTCTCTATGTCTTCCTGCAATAAAGAATCTCTTTTAAAAATCAGAAAGAGAACCAGAAAACGGTAGCAATTTACTTTGAAAAGTCACAGTTAGGGTCTTACATACATACAAACAATTTCAGATTTGTAGTTGGAAATTCTAAAATGCCACTTGAACCAAATCAATTTTTTGAGCTACAGTTTAACTAACCTAGAAGTCGTCTACTTCAGAAAACACTATGAAGAATTCTATCATACATTAATTTTGTTAACAAGTCAATATGATTAAAGCAATTTCTTTTTTAATACTTTGACATCTTATTTAGTTGCAAGCACTCTCCATTTAACTCATTTTCTTCCTGCAGAGAAAACAGGATTTGCATTTATTTATGGCAGAACGTCGAGAAGGAGCTGTTGCTTTTACAATTATTACTAATGTTGTCTCCCAGAATTTAAGGAAAAATATCTAAGTATTTTTTTTAATATTATAGCAGAAACAGCTGAAAAACTGCAGCATCTGTGTGTTTCTAATTTTTTCCTGTCAGAATCTCAATTTTTTTCCACACATAAAAGTCCATTTCTTTCAATAAATGGTAACTACTCCTTGCAATCAAAACACCTTTACTTTCAACTAACAAGATAACTGGATTGATCTTTGCAGTTTCCAGGCAAGAGTCTGTAGAAGTACTAGCAATTTCCAGCAGAATACAGTTACTGGACTTCTGAGACCTTATAATGTTGCCAAACTGTCTGAAGGGCAAATATTTTAGTAAACACAGTCAATATTTAACTAAATATGCACTCAAAACAGTATTAATTCTAATTTTATATTCTGCAACAAATATTCTTTGCTAAAATAAAAATAAAACCAGGACACCAGGTATAGTATAGAAATTTTAACACAAAACAGGAAAGACCAACAGCTTTAAAAAAATAAGCTAACAAAAAATAGGCTAACATTAAATTTTAGCATTATTCTCCTTACACAGTTGAATATAAACCAAAATAAATTGTGTATGGAGCATGAAATTAAAAAGCATGATTCTAATGGACAAATACAGATTTTGCCAAAAGCTGCTTGTGGTGTTCACCTCTCGCCCCTCTGCTTCTCTCCCTGATCCTCCTGGTGGGGGAGTGAGCAAATAGTTGTTGGGCCTTGGTTTCCATCTGGGGTGAAACCACAACACTCAGATATACAGGTTAAGAGAAGTTTGTATATTGAATTCCACTGCTTAAGCCACTAAAGTTCATTTGTTTATTTAATAAGTAATCTGATAGGCTGTCTACAAATCTGCTATCGCATTACTGGAGTGAGTGCAAAGAAAACAGAAATAGCAAAGATGCTTGAATACAATAGTTTGGAAGGCAAAGAGCTAGAAAATGCAGTGGTAAACATTAAAGGGTGAAAGGGTTGGAAAGCTGTATCATTCCCTCTTCAATAACATATCCTTAAAGGAACTGGGCAAACCTTATACAACAGACATAAGTAAAGATAAATCCTCTAAACAATGGGCAATTTCCTAAGATAATGAAAAGTTTCACTGTTTTCTTTAATAGCTCCCAGTGTTTTATTTGACTCATGGTTTAACAGACATCTTCCCAGCTATTGTTCCAACCTGAGCTCATTTCTAGACATTGGAAGCAAGTCCTATGCTTTAGCCAAGCATCAGATCTTCCTTGTAATCTCACTTCCCATTTCTTAAAATTTTCCTGCCATCAGAGCAGCTTTAGAATTATTCTCAAAAGCGAACTGAACAGCTTATCTCTGTACCTTCTGTCTGATACTGTCTGAATAGTGGGCTTTCTGGGCTAGCTGGAAGCCCATGCTAATGTCTGTACAGGATGCACAGGCACTTCTGTCATGTTTCTTACTTAACAGACCTCTGTGTCCTTCGCTGTATGGGAAAAAGGGTAACTGGTTTCACAAAGGCCATACAGAAGGACGAGACAGTCAGAAACAGAACCTTTATCAACCATTGCCTTAATCACAAACAAAGCTCAGATATTACTGGAATTCCATGAAACTCCTGGAATGATAAGTTTGGCAAAATGCAGCCAAAACCCTCCTTGCTCTCTTTCCATCTCCTGTAATCTGTCAGCAAGGAAGAACCCCGTTGCTGTTGCTTTCAGTCTCTTAATCCCACAAATATCTTTTTAGGATAGCTGTAAGATTCTGGTTTACAACTCAGGCTCCTTCCCCTGATTCAATACAACTTCAAAAGTGGTGTATTCCCCTCCAACAGTGGTGAGTCTAAAGGCATATGTATGAAATGCAACAGAAGCAATAAACAGTCCCAGCTTTATTATCTGTTCAGCAGACCATGCTGCTGTAGGCATGGAAAGCCTATATGGCAGACAGTCTACTTCCTCCTATCTCTTTCCTTAAAAATACATATTTATAATTGTTCACAAGGGTCAATAATACAGTTTTGAGACTAAACAATGAATTATTTTATATTAAAACAAGCCCTCAAGAAATATCAGAATGACAAGACTGAAAACGTGAAACTCTTGTATATCATCATGGCATACCTTGTCTGAGTCATGGTTTATCATTTTGACATCAAGCAAAGATTTGATGGTTTTTGTCAGTTCCTTCTCATTCATTTGTGTGCTGTCCTGAAGCTCCTTGTAACTGACAGTCTCACTGTTGTTGAAGGCAAGCAACACTGCCATTTGGTATGTTGTGACCATGGCTACATAAGGTTTGCACAAATAGTTCATTTTTACTTCACCTGTAATGATACAACAGTATTTTATAAACTGATGGAAGGTGCTGAAAAGTCATCTGAAGTTTAACTACCAGAACTCCTCACACATTTCCAGACATTTAATTCAAGCTTCCATTTTACACTTGAAATGGGATGATGACAACTGGTGTTGTGAATTCACAGTTACAGAATGTGATCTACAACAAAAAAACCCCTCTGACTAACTATGAATACCAGAACAATACTGTTTTGAATAATGCAAAATAATTTATAATAATAATAAAAATAGAAATTCCAATTAGATTTCATAACATTATATTGTTGTATGCTAGTCTGGTTTTTCATCTCCATGTAATATGCTGTGGTGCTCAGTCGTTAAAGCCTGATACTGAAAGCATTTGAAATAAAACATGATTTACTGACACTTACTAAAATAAACTATAATTTTATATATATCTTCTAAGATGTTAACATGTACTCCCATATAGTAAATATAAATATTTGTTTACTTAGATACTCACATACCTGATTAAAATAGTATAATATGCATTCTTAAAATTATTTCATATTTATCTAAGGGACAGCTATACTACAAAAACAATTCCAGGTCAATTGTTATTAACTCAGCAGTTCTGTAGTTAAGAACATACAACTCTAGTTTTACTTGGATTTAATAAATCACAGGCAACACATGCAAGTTTACAAAACATAAGTTTTGGAAATACTATGTAGTAAATATTAATTTATAATGCAAAATAATGTGTTGACTTTATAGGCAAAATATTGTTCCAGCTCCACAGTCTGTTGCCATTTGAAAAGGACTTCTAGCAAATAACTGTCAGTTGTATAGATCATAAGTTTAGCAAAGCACTTGTTTTTACCTGTACAAAGATAATGTAACCAAGTAAGCTTCCTTCCACTAAAATGCTGACTGTAAAATAATTCAAACTGCAAAACAAAATGAACTTCAATTAGTCACACATGTAACTACTTATAATAGTTTATTATCACCCTACCACCCTAATGAAGAAATACTGGCTTTATGTTCACCCTACTGGATGCAAACATTGCAGATCAATTCATGACAGCATTTTCCTTTGGAACATGCCGATGATTGAATCCTGATAAGGTCCACCTCTGGTAATGAGAAAAACTTAAGCAGATTCAAAGAACCTTTACCTAAAACGGGATCAAACTCTCTAAACCCCCATAGCCAACACTGTGTACACATCAGTTTGGCTTATTCCAATTTGGTCTGGCAACTCTGATTAACATTGAAGGAAAACACAAAACCAGGAACTTTTGACCTCTTTAAGAATCGTGTTTCTCCACCCACAAGCTTGCACAGTATGAATACCAGTATATGTACACCATTCAGAGAAATATATATTTACAGGAAGCTCCAGCAGTCTCAGAAAAAGCTGCTAAACAGCTTGCCCAGTTATTCACATATTTTGGAGTGCAATTGCAAAATGGTTTTTTTCTTTCTAAATCCTGGTCAGAATCCTGAGAGAATTCTCTCTCTATGGGTCAAATGATGAAACTTAACAGTAAATACATTGTCAGACAATTTTCAAAGACCCCCCTAAAGTCATATTCTATTGCCTTAGGAAATTATAATTTAGGGCAATGACTCTAGCTATGACTAAATTTGCTCCTTTAAACTGGCAAAACAGTGAAATTAGGCAAGCAACCCAGACTCTAAGCTGCTTCTGATACAGAAGCCTGTAACAATTTTCCAACTGAGACACAACTGACAATACTCCTACTTTGACCTCACAAAGAACAGGAAAATCTCATCAGTCACCTTCTGGTGACTGCATAGTATGGATTGGAAACTATTATATTGCTAAAAGTGCCACCTACTAGAGGGGAAATATAGCAGAATAAATAGTTCTAAAACTCAGTAGCAATATGTGAAAAAGCTCCCTCACCACAGAAACAGACATTTACCATTATAATTTACATCAGATAGTAAATTAAGGTATAAAAACTGCTTTTAAAAATCTGTTATGTCCAATAATACAAAATTTTTATTGCGTAAATTGTACTTCACCATTAAATACACTTTAAAAAAGATCAACACACATTGTACAGGTAACATTTAGAATACAATAATACAATCAAAACCAACAAAATACTTACCTCTACAAAGTAGAAATCATCATGTAAGAAAAGAATATTTGACCAAAGTAAAACCTTTATTGCTTTGAGAAATCATAAAATTAGCCTTAAAGAAGTTTGCACAAAGCTTGATTTTGTAAAGCTCCTATGATATACAGGACAAACCCCCTGTATTTGCATCTTAATCTGCTATTATATCTGTTCATATTTAATATTAGAAACAGAATCTTCTTTTCTTTAAATATTAGGAATTGGTTTTAAAGAAAGAACCAACCTAGTTGGTTTAATTGTATTTATTAACATCTCCCTCAGCAATCACAAAGTGTAGAAGAGAGATGTTAAAAATAAAGAAAAGCTATGCAAATACATACATAAATTCAGTAAGGTATTTGAGTGACCCTTCCACATTTCCTATGGACTGGAAACAGGATATCCACAATTTACAAACAAAACGAAGCAGCTCAGGTTTTTCTCTGTTCGAGTGATGATCTTTTATTTGGAGTTATTTTACATTTTCCACATGTTTACAAGAAGCCTCCTACTAACCTACCATCTGTACACTTTTTTCCAGTTCCTGAGGAATTGCAAATGTAGAAGAAGGAGCCTGAGTTAGAGGCCATGCACCAGCCTAAAGATATGGGGAAAAAATAAAAGCATTAACATTTTCAGACAACATATACATTAAGAAAAAAATAATACTCTTACACAGATCTATAGTGTACATTATGTCATAAGACAATCAATTGATCCCAGAAGTTTTACTGCTCATTTTTTACTGCTCCTTATGCACACCCCAGTGAGGTATTAACTGAAGTTGAAAGCACAAGACATTTTATATCACTACTGTTTAGTGAGCTACTGGGTTAATTTTAAAAAGCAACACTAGAAAAATAAATATTACCCTACAATAATCATAAGGCATCAGTTTCCATACAAAGAAGCATTCACAGTTAGAAAAATTGTTCATTTGTTATCAAAACATAAAAAATAAGCACAAGTAACTCAGTAGTAATAAACATACATTAGTACCTGTAGAACATATATCTGAAAGCTAATTCCCAAATCTATAATCGTGTCCTGGTTTTTGATAAAGTTGTTGAATTTATTGTTGAGATCAGCACTAACACTCATGTCTGTATACATTCGGTGGAGCTTGCTGGTAAATTCATAACCACAGGCTTGCTGTGAAGAAATATTGTAAGAGGTTTCACAGTGAAAACAGTCCTTATTGTATAAATTATGCCCACTCACTACTACAGTATGAAAATCTAGTCAGCAGAAGTGTTGTTACATTTACAGAAAACACTAGTTACAATAGAAAACAAACACTGTAAAATAAAATTACCAGATTTATCTTAGTTTCACTCTATACACAATGATCTACATGAACAATGTTATCCTATAAAACTGAAAGACAGACATGGTCTATGAAAGTCCTTGGTACTTTTATAATGTTAATATGAATTATTTGAACCCATCTAATAAAACTACCCAAAACCTTATAAAAATCTCAAATGCCTAGATGATACTTAGCCATATATCTTTCACAGACTACCAAAAAACTAGTTGTTCCTTGTAGCTATTGGAAACAGACCTACTGACTGATAAGTTACCTCTGGCACCCTCTGCTGCTCCCTCTCAACACTACATATTCCTTTGTTCATTCTGTGTTAGAAGAATATTACGTTACCTTTAGTTTATTTATCATGGCTTCTTCAGAATCCATAGACATAGACAAACCATGAATTAATCTTTTTGCCAACATTCTGGCATAGAACTGCATTGGAAAAAAAACCAGATATGAGGATGTTAAGAAGCATAATCACATGCTTCAAGTATGCTTTAAATGTAAGATTTTAACCTTTATTGAATATAAAAAGTTACCTTTTGGAATACATCTTTGTCATCAATGTATTTGAAAACAGTAATGAAACTTGTAAGTTTGTCTTCTACTTCATTCTCTGTCATTCCTTTTGCTGATTTCTTCAACAAGTTGTCACAGTACTTGGCCAGCTCAAATTAGAAAAAGAAAAATCAAACCCAAATCTACCTGTCAAGCTTGAGAACAAATGTATGCCAAGGTATTCCAAACTTCTACACAAAGTTCAAATGTGAAATAAGTCACAGTCTACAGTCTCACATTCTATTACAAGGTTGTATTCATGGGTAAACTATACATTGTACATCTGCAGAAAATACAGTCTGTATCAAAAAACAGGACCATAACAACTCTGCACACCCACAAAACGTGTGTGTAAGTTAAACTGCTACTACTGAAATACACACCTGAGGGTGACCCAGTGTAAGAATTGGATATTCATGTGAGGGACCCTGTGCCAATTGATTTGACAATTATAAACAAGAATTCTTACTTTCTACTTGTATCACTTACCAACTCAGGTGCTTTGCAGATCGACTTGGGCTCCCTATAGTTAACTACTGATGTCAAAGCCTACATAAGAACATAGAGCAAAGAGAAAAATTGTAAATGACTTACACCTTTGTCTTTTATGAGATTTGAAGAAATCAAAAAAAAATGCTCAAGGCAAAGACCATCTGAGACACTATAAAACTGAATTACACAAAGGGGATCAAAAAAGAAACAACGAATAAAAAGGTTTCAATTACTGCCCTAGGAGAATTTGGTTGTTAAACATGTTTAAGTTGAGAGTTAAGTAAAAGTGGAAAGAGTAGAGGAACAGAAGCTAATTACAGAAAATGGGAGAACAAATCAAGTTCTGATTAGAAACTTTGCAGAAGTATGAAGATTTTTGAATACAGCAATATTATGGTGCAAAAGTATGGATGGAAAGAGGTTTAGGAATAATTGCAGATAAAGCAGATTTGAACACCAGCACAACAACAGTAGATTATATGGATAGCATGTATCTTGAACTGAAAAGCATATATGGTGTGCTCACAACAGTAAAAACTAAAAGTTCTTTTGGTTGTGGGATTTTTTGATAGACTAAAGAGGAGAAAAATATTGTTCAAAGTAGAAATTTGAAGCAGTACAGTACAAACAATATGGTGGCTAAAGAAAACCTGAATATGACAAAAAGAAAAGGAATAAGATAATGAAAGTTTAGAATGGAAAAAAAAATGTTAGAATAATCGAGTTTCTAAACCATACATCACATTTAAATTAACATTTTAAACTAACATTGAACCAAAAATACTGCGTGATTACAGTTCCCAGGAATTACAGTTCCTCTATGGAAGGAAAATATTGTTCTTATTATCAAGATGAACTGACAACCAACGTTTTTGTACAATACATCAACATTTCAAAACTTGGTAGTAGGTCTCTAGAATCCCTGTGAGAAAGGAATGCATGACTTGGAATAGGAAACTTTGAAGTTTGGAGCACTTTTTTGCAATAAAACTGGAGGCAGCAGTTTTTATCTCCACCATGAAAAATTAACGAGATCAATATTTTAAATATTTATTGTAAGAATGATCACTGAAGTGAAAAAGCGATGTATATGTAACAAAATCTAAGTTGCTATCTGCCAAAGGTAGTTGTCAATCTCGTGTTACTCCACCTTCTGGTACATGACGTTAATTGCAGTGGAGACAGAAATGTGTTTGGCACTGAGATAAGTATTTGTTTTAAAATGATAGTTATTTTCTCCATATCACAAATACAAATGGGTAACTACTATTGGTGCTATTATTGGTACCTTCTTCACTATGCCTTTTCATACTAACCTTGGCTGAAAATTATCAAAGCTTAGACTAGGACGCTGATTACAAACTGCAATTACTATAAACACCACAAAAGAGCAATGAACCATATGTCTACATCCCATGACAGGAAATTATAGACAGGAAAGATACTTACAATTAATAGTTAAAATCAATAATTATTATTATTAAACTTTATAAAAATTAGAACCGTTATGTTAAAATAAAAGAGCAGCAAGCCTCTTTCCCTAAATTTATTATTTAACTTCAACTGCAGCTCTCTCCTGCAAAAAGTTACCTATTGTGACAGTGATTGAAGTAATTTAAGTTTTCAGATACTCTTTGTTTAGATTTTTCAAGTTGACTGCAAATATTCTATGTAAGTAATACTAAAAGCACTCAGAGTCAAACATTATGTCAGGAAGCAAATTCAAGTTCAAATGCATTTAAGAATTACCAAACCTCCCAAACACAAGTTGTCTATTATCTGCACTTACATTTACACTAAATATGTCAGCATCCTTTTTGTCTTATGAAATGCGATGAAAAGAAAGGCCTTTCTTTCTGAAAACATTAAAGTATTAAAGTGGTTTCCTCTGTACATATCTTTCCCTCTAACACTGGCTTGTCTTTTGTTCCATTGCATTTCTAAGCTAGAAAAACTGCATAAAAACTCTATCTTTGAACATGTGTTGATGCTCTGAAGAATTCTGGAGAGGTTGAAGCAGGGTCCCGAATTTTGTTTTCCAATCCCTTGTTTACTTAAGTAAAAGTTACCTTGTCAAGGGCACTCATAAAGTGTTGATCACCATTCAAAACAGTGTTGATGAGTTGCACAAATTTACTATGTACTTCCAAAACTGACTCCACAAACTGAGTTGGCATCTAAAGGGAGGTAAATGAAACAGAAAGCAAGTTAATGAGAAAAGTAGTATTATCTACATATAAACATATCTACCTTAGTTGTAGATTTTTTCCTAATTACTCTTTTTTATAAAAGTTAATGCCACAGTGATTAAGACATTGAGAGGATTGGTTCTGCACTGCTGTACTCTCACACGACTGTTCTAGAGCATGTTTTGGAAATAAAAAGACCACGTTACATTTACAGTCCTGCTATCCAACATAGATTTGGGTCTATACTGTTCTCATGTCATCTAATTTTTTGGATCATACCCTAAAATCCTTTACTAGCCTTTCCAAAAACCATTAATGCTAACACATAAATACAGTAATCAAGCCAAAATGCAACTGAAGTAAGTAAACGGCTGCTTCTCCTACACACTGACTTCAGAGACACAAAATCTGGATGATCCCTTTACATTTTCCTCCATAGGCCAGTTATCAGTTGAATTTCATGCACTACGTTTTAGCATCCCACTGTGTATAGAGAGGACTGACAGGAGCTGGAGGAGCCCCTACAGAGACACTGTGAAATTATCTACATAAGGTTGTGAATTGTCACCACCCTCATGGCTCTGTATTTATTTCCCTGTGTAGACCCTGTAAGTTTGAAAGAATAAGCTCAATAAATCTACAAATAATATGAAAACAAAATATACTACTAAAGACTTCAGTCCACTTTCTGTATGCACACAGGAGTCACAGAAGAGTAAGCAGTCCTGTGCAGTCAATAAATTAGTGAATTTACAACAGCTTGTATTTATGTATTACTGTAGATACAAACACTGGATGGCCAAAGTCACTATCCTAAAGTGAGCACAGATCTAGACAGCAAGTTGTACACACATGTACAAATATAATGTCAAATGAAAGCTTGTTGTTTGTGTCTGAACAGCAATGGGAGAGGAACAAACATGGAATTGAGTAATTTAAATACATATGAACTGAAAATGCACTTTAGTAAAATAATTAAGCTAGAGTATTTTCAGAAACTACATAAAAATATGAGACTACAAAGCTATTAGTGAAAAACATCACACTGAAACCAGGGCAGGATGTCAAGTCTTTACAAATACTACATAATTAAACTAAATGGAATCACTGGTTCCTAATATACCAGAACAGCAAATGCCACTGACTTAAGAGAAACTCAGGAAAAAATACATACACAGAACAAAAGGACCTACTTGCCCTGACAGCATTTAACAAGCAACAATGAGAAATATCTAGCTGCAGTTGTTTCTGGTTAGATCACAACAATTAACTCTCAGGACAGACATGTGTCACACAGTTAACCACGCTGATCAGAGGTTACAAGTTATCCATCATGTCCCAAACTAATTTCATACAGACAAAATTGAAAAAAACCAGAATAGACTAACAGGAAAAGAGCAAACAATTAATCAAGACTGTTAATCAAATAGGTAATTTCAGTTGCCTGAGGAAACTCACATTTTCCTGAGAAAGATTGCTGGTTGCTCTAAGGCCCTCATCATGGATATGGTTTTGTAGTTCCTGAATCATATGAGGTAAACCACTTGACACAGCACGAAGCAGAGTATACATATTTGCCATGTCTGTAACAGAGATACATTTTTATAGAATATGGTTAGAAACACTGAAAACTGACACTTAATATAGTATCATAATTTCACACAGAATTTCTTAAAGACTGAAACGAGACTGTTTTGAAAAAAAAATTAACATACACTGGATCACTGACAAAATAATAAAAGTAAAGAGTAGGGCTAATACCAGTATTTACTGAGTCCTGACACTGTGACTAACTCACTCTTCCAATACTGCTTCTTTAGGAGAGAATCCAAAAAGAGAGGTGGGTTAGTATGGAGAAATACTGTGCCAGTGGTGGCTTGAAATTTTTCTCAGGTTAGAAAAGCTATAAATAAGCAACTGCTATTTTTATGATTTTCTTATTCCTCCCCCCTTCCCCTGCTAAAAAACAGATCCAAGCTCTGATCAAACTTGGAAAACACTCTGGAAACTGAACACTATTATTAGATACAATTTGAGTTTGGCTGTGAAAAAATAATTTGTCTCACATAATAGATACCACCTTCCATGCAAGAATAAGCATTCTTTCAAGGGTAAGAAGCATGTAGTAGTCATCAGGAAGACTTTTTTTCAGTCAGGTAGGGAATCTAATTATAAGAACATCTCCTTCTTTAAAAAGGATTTGGGACAAGAGGTCACAAAAGATTCAGGACAATAAAAAGTGGTTGTGAATAGAAGCCAAAATATTCTATAATCCTAACCTGTCAATTAATGATGAAGAAATCTGTAAAGACAGAGCCATTGGTTTACAAAGGAAAACACAAACATAAAATATGATCAATTCTACAGGACACAGGACTTCAGTGCGTTTTTAAGCTAAGACAAGGAAAGAGAAAGAGCACTGGCCAAAAGTAGGGTTGTTAACAGTAAAAAGAAGGTTTTGACTACATATTTGGAAGAATGAAAGTTAATTACATGGTAAAAGAAAACGTCATTCAGGGTTGAATTAGGATTTCTAGGTAAGTAACGTTAGCTGAAAGTACTTAAGTGCACAGAAGGCCATTGAAAACAAGATAGGAAATCCCAATGCTAAATGAATAAAACAAAAACCATTTTATGCTTTTTGTGACTACAGACTTACCACTTCTTTTCTCTTGTCTGATAATATTGTGACATTCTGCATGTAGAAACTGCAAGTGATCAGCTACCATCCTCTGCTGGCATTCATGAATCACTTTGCCATATGAGCTGGGATGCAAGTATTTCCGACACCTCATTTCTTCATCTTTTAATCTACCTAAAACCTGCAGACAAGTGTTCAAACTGAGAGCTGAAGAAATACTAACAACCAAAATAGAAACAGAATATACAGCACTATATGTATGTAACATGAAACACAAGAATAAGTAAAAATTACAAAAGAACGTGTGCAGGATGCCAAAAAATTAAATTTGCTCTTTTGAATCAGGCTATTGCTGAAATAATATAATCTACTCCAAATACTGACTAGCAGCTTTCAGTAGTTCTCAAAACTTCTTTTTCCCTTCAACTTTGTGACCAGTTTTCCCCCATTTCTCTTACCACGCTCCTTGCTCTTTCTGGAGAAAGTTTTATGACAATACCTAACTATAAGAGACTATAAGAACCACTTTACTGCTCCAAATCCATCTGCTTGTACATAAAACATCTGCTCAATAGGTACAGGAAGGAAATAGGCATCATAAAATAAGTCATATGAATGCTCACATAAAAGCACTTACATCCTGTGAATATGAGGGGAGTCTAGGGAGAGCAGTGCAGCTGCAGAGTGTTAACAATAGGCAAAATTAATCTGCATTGCTTTTGGTTTAGTTGAAGTCTTAGCCTATCCCTAAATTTCACCACAGGTGTGCAACCATTAGCTTATGCTCCTTATGGTTAAAAGCAATTTCACAGCCTTCTCCTCAACTTTTCTATACTAGTAGTGTGGACAGTATAGCACCAAGGACTGACTCCTAGTCTTGTATTAATCTTTGTTTTCTCAAACGAGGTATAAGAATTACAAGCTAAACTACTTGACTTTATACACCACACAGCAAAACAAAAGAAAATCCATCTCAGAGTATGTAATTTTTAATAATGCTCTGTAACAACCTAAAGTCTTCTTTAACCACTATGATGCAAAAACTCTCATCTTATGCTACTCCAAACTGAAAGAAAACAAGGAAGTGAAGAAGTAATACTGATCAACCTGATCTGTGTTTTATTTTTGTCTTTTTTTTTTTTTTACTTTACATGCTGCTAATTTATTATTTATTATGATATATTTTGATGCCAACCATCCATCCATAGCAAGGTTTGTAGTTTATGTTCAGATTAACCATGTCACCAAAAACTAATGCATGAAAGCATAACAAAGAACAACTATAACTGTAGAGGAAAACATGTATCATCAGTAAAATGATAATACTAGATTTTAGTTATTGCATGTGTACCAAAGAATGTCTTACCTTCTCCATGTACTGTGAGCAATTTGACTCTTGCAATAAATTTGAAGCTTCTTGTTTATAATACTCCCCTGTTTCATTCAGAAAAGGACACTCAAAAATTTCCTGATAAAACTAGAAGGGAGAATTTTTTTTAAAGGACAAATAATGCATATACTGGCTTAACATTCAAAATTAAAAACATAGAATCAGAAATATGTATCTACCTTTAGGGGGAATTTTTTCTTATACTGTTCAACATGAACAAAGGAGTTAATAACCCCATGGATTACTTTCTGGTTTGGGTCTTCTCCACAGCGATCACTGAAATAGGCAAAGCAAACATTTATGAAAATGCAGGTATCTTGTGTAATTCATCTGATAGCTGAATGAAATAAAATTGGATGAAAACATTTTCCAGTAAACTCCTCTGCTTAAATTGGCAAAATTGAAGAAGATTTATCTTAAAATAAAAAATGCACTCTTCTTTCTCTAATATACGTTTGAATTGTTGAGACAGTAATTCAAAAGCATTTACAGGTCATGAAATTTCCAAGTGTTTGCTAAGGATGTAAGTATTCCAAATTACATATTCTGAGCAAGTAGTTCAAAAGATACAGTAAGTTCCATCTTGTATTTGTAGCCTTTATTATATAGACTACCTTTACACTCTTGCCCCTGCCAAAAAAAATCCATAGCTTTTACCAGCATCACAGCAAGAAGCACGCTATTTTCTTTTCTGAATATCTACTATCCAACATGTAGATCTCAAGTGGAACAAATAACAGACCAGGTGCATTGTCACAATATTTAATCATACATCAGAAAAGGAAAACCTTACGTTTTCCAGTCAATTTATTAGCTTCAAACCAGGGAGTACAAGAAAATGTTATATTGAGTTCCATTCAGTTGAAAATAAAAGTAATTAAAACAAGTGTTTTGCATGCTAAAAACATTGGTGCTCAGTCCTTTGCAAAACTGGAAATAACAGACCCGCACTCAGAACAGCAGGGACTTTCTCTTAAGACATGAAAAGTTCTAAAAAAGACCATTTTTCATATGCACTTTGCAACAAAGTAAAAAAATATTCCCTAACACCTAAGGTGTTAAGTAGAACTAAAATATGATTTACAAAAGTATATTTACACTTAAGCATAAGCATTTGTAATTTCAAAGGTTTTTCTTTTTAAAATATGTATGTACACATATATGCATGTATATAGAGTAAGAACTTCTACTTTACCTAGACTGCACTAAAAAGACAAAATGAGTTCTCTATTAGAAACTTATGTTGGTATAGGAGAGTCATTTACATGACTGATTAAAAAAAAAGGTAAAGTCCATGAAAATATACATCAAACCCAAGCCTTACCATATACCCATCCTGGCTGGGGTGGTGTGGGGGAGAAGTAATTTTGCTCATGTCATTTGTTTCGGTTTGTAATTGAAAAAAACTCCAGAGGATGCCCATGAGCTGGGGAGATTTACCAGCACAGCCATACCAGCAGTCATTGTACTACACACATCAGACCATCTTCATACATTCACAACACTGTTAATTATGGGTATTGCTTTCAAACACAACTGCTGTCTAAGATCTGAAAACTTAGGCTCACGGTGGGTGTAAAGAACTAGCTCTCTAACAGATTATGAGCAGTGACAGTATGGTTTATGCAGCTTCATCACCCATTATAAGTGAACTGAACTGACAGGTTCCATCAGGGATGGTCTGATTTTTCCGCCCAGGGAACAGCAAGATTTCCTCTGGTTGTGGTAGCTGAACCAACAGAACAAATCTGAGTTTGGGTACATGTAATCACACCCTGCATCCGTGCCAACATCCCTTGACAGGTCTGGTTTACAATGGCAGAGGCAGCAGCACAGAATCATAGAAGGGAAGAAGTGAAACACCTGCCCTGGGCCTGGATGTAACTCCAGCCTGGAGGGGTCCAGGAGCATGGAAAGCTGCAGGATGCATGCAGCCTGTGAACACAGTGCTATGTCATGGAGTGCAAGAAGCCACAGAACTAAGAGTTTAGCATGTTACAAAGCAGGGCTCTAGCAAGAGACAGTCCAGCTCAGCTCTAACAGGCAGGGTTCTGGACCTGGAAAGGTACTGGTGACAAACACAGGAAGCATTACTGCAACAACAGCTCCAGTCCCAGTTCCCCTCTGCTCGGTTCACAGGCCACTTCAGACCTTAGCCCAGGCAGATGGGGGAAGGGAGGGGGCAGCAATGGTCAGACCAAGGGGATTTGAAGGACAACACATTATTAAGAAAAAGCTGTAAAAGTAGAGGAGACATGCTCCCCAGAAGAGCTGGAAGGGAGGAAACAAGCTTTTGAAGCAGAGGTCAGATTGCACGAAGGTGATAAAGGAAAACAAGTGCAGCATGGAATAGGCTGTGCCTGGTCTGGCAGCAGCTTCAGGTTTTTATTTACACCAATGGTGCTCTGCTCCCAGCAATTTGTAATGCAAATGACTAGTTTCAACAAAATTTGAGAAGTTTCAAGGATGACTTTCATGAAAGTTGTAGTAGTAAGAGCAACTGCCAAAACTAAAATGAAATAGGGGACTCCATCAAGGTAGAGTATCAAATGTACATCTTCCTTCTTGGCAGTAGTCAGCAAGCAATAGGGATGCTTAGAGCTACATAGCAAATGCTGCACAGTTTGAAGGGATATCACAGGATATCTGGGAGGATACGAGGGAATGATGATGTTTGGTGAGGAATATGGATAAAAACAAAGTGCTAGAAACACGAGTTCCACTAATTTAGGTGATGACAAGTTTCTTTTATCAAAAAAACGGAAAAAGTTACAAAACACAAGCTAAAGGAAGTTGTGTTGCTTAATATTAATTCCATATTGTTCCTGTCTTAAGGCTAAAGCTAACAGTGGAAGTCCAACATGTGTTGTACAGTGTACTACTACTAGTTCAAAGAACATCTTTAAAATTTAAGGTACAATAATAAATACTGGATTTATTAAAAGAAGATTCCATCATTCAAAAGAACTGCTCTGCTCTGTCAAACCAAAGGTCTTTTGAGGCAAATTAACTAGAGAATTTACTGTCAATTAGAAGAGCCCATTCTGAATACTTTTTAAAAAGTTAACTTCCAATAGCTTTAATTTCAAACAAATGGTATAAATAATGTATCGGCTTAGACAGGAATAGGTTCAGTTAGTTAGAAAGTGTTAGTTATCTTTAGCAGAGAAGCCTCTCCTGGTTAGTCTGTACTAATCACACTGTCATTTGAGATAGCACCTGAATAACTTCCAAATTATTTCTGCTTAAGAATTTCATAGATGAATTTTCTCACAATTCAAGATCTTGTCGGCTTCCTTTTGTGTTGGAACAAAAATGCTTAAGTTGATATTCAGCTTGCCTTGTAGGAGGAGTGCTTGGGCTAGAGGGAGGGGGGAGAAAGTGTGTTATATTCAGAACTCTATATTAACTAGTGCAGTCAGACAAGACAGGCTTACATGATTTAAGAATTTCTGCCATTCAAGGGGGCTAACCCTGCTCCCTTCTGCTCAGTCACAGGCCTCTCTCTCTCTCTCTTGCTTTGCTTTGGCACTCATCTAATTCTTTGCTGAATTGACTCATTGTGCCAGTCTGGAGAAATAACAGCCAAGATGGTTTTCTGTCATATTAGCAGTTGAGCTGGTTCACTAAGGGACTAGAGGAGCACCTAATTCAGCACATGAAAGGTAGTAGAGCACAGCCTGCTCTTTTTTGGCATCAGTAAACTCTTAGATCAGTTTAGTCATTTTGTTTAGCTGAACCACAAGTCACTACTTGTATTTCTTTATTTTCATGTACCAAAAGAAGACTGTTGTTATTTTTAATGTGTACTGTATTGCACGAGCTTATAGATTCTAAAAGGTCAATGTGCTCAAGATTTTAGTCAGAAGTCTTTAAAATTCCAGGTAAATACACTGATTTCAGGTAAATACACCTGAAAGAAAAAGCTGTGGCTCTGCTCCCCTACCTTTTCCAGTACAGTAATAAACATAGTTTTATATGCAGCCAGTTGACTACAGTGTTGATTATCAACTCCACATATTGTCATAGGCTACACAAAATCTTCTTGCTAGAAGTAGTTCAACTGTCCCATCTACATACATTTTAGTTTCTTAGAGGTGCTGTAATAAACAGAACCATGCACACACAAGTACTATTAAGAAGGTATATTACAGAGGAGGTTTTAAGCACATACATGTATTAGTAATTTTATTACAATTTTTAGGTAATATTATGCCCATGCATACTCTTGCATCTCTGACAGATGTAACTTATGGATATATATCCATTTCTCCAAAGACTTTGTTTAATCCCTGAACTCCTGAATTCAATGCTAGAAAACATTTAAGTCATTTGCAGCAGTGTCTTTAAAACTGCCTCTTAAAAACTGTATTGACCACCGAAATCACAGCAAAGAACAGCAACCAGCCTAGAGTTACATGCAAAGGCCGTCCTCGGAATCCCCACTGTGAACTCTAAATTTCATGATAGCAGGAAAAAAAGCTATAAGTAGTTCTCTCTCATATAATTCATTAAATGATATGCAGATCACAGTGGTTAAAAGAAACTTAGTATGAATAGTTATATGCGTATTTTGAGAAGCAGAATTGCATTAACTTTGAGATCACATAAAAGAATCCTTAATAAAGAAGGGGGGAAAATCCAGATCCAACCATCAGAGACAATGACTCAAGTTTTATTTAAAATTTTCCAAATAGTTTAATTACAAATAATGTCAACTTGTTACAGTTTCAGGCCTCCTCCAAAGCCAGTGACAGCTTGACCTAAACACCCTTGTGAGGTCTGCAGTCAACCTCAAGGTAAATACACACCATTACTCTTAAGAGGCATCAGATCTCTGTTGAAAAAAGTTTTTATACACATTTTCACTCCCACCCACCAGTGAAATACACACATTGACTGAAACAAGTCTTCAATGTCTCTGTGCCTGATGTAACAAAGGAGAATTTTCTTCACAGTGAATTAGGGAATCCTCCTTTAATAAAAATAAATTGTTACAGTATAAATATATGGATAAAGTAGTATCAGCCCTGGTTACAAAGGCACTACAGTTCAACAACTGAAAGCAAGTAAACACCTCCTGGCCTCAGAAATGCCATCCAAGACAGACATCATTTGGGAATGAAAAATAAAAATAAAAATCTTAAAATTAGGTTTTTAATGCCTTATAAATAGTTTTTATCTGATCAAATGCATGTCAAAGGAACCTCAAGCAGTCAAATTACCTCTCTCAGTTTACCTACACTAGTCTGGTCACCTGAGTAATCACTTAAAAAACCCAGTCATCAGCAACTCCAGAGCTACCCTAAATAGCAGTAGAATTGTAGAAACTGATGGAACTTACAACTACACACAAGATCTGTGGTAAATGTCAGTATTTCTGTTTATGCATAAATAAAAGGGTCCTTTGGGAGTTAAGTAGAAGTTTTAAATCAAAACTTTAAAAGTCCCAAGCCCTGTAGCTACCAGGGTCTTTGTTTAGAAGTAAAAAAAAAAAAAAGTATTCAGAAATGAAATAATGATTTCCCCTCAAAGTGCAAAAAAATAATTATTTCCATTTCCTTCAAGTAAAGTAGCAGGACTGTTAAGTGAAGCACTCATCTGAACAACAGAAACCCACAAGCTTGGTCTTCCTGGTAGATAAGCAAGAATTGTTCTGGGTCCCATGCAAAGAAACAGCTTCTCTGGCTTTGGCAAATCTTTGCCCAAGGCCTGGTCCTTAACTTTACTGACAGCACAGAAGCCATAAGCAGTCAGCATCAGGCGGTGAAAAAGGCAAGAGGCATCCTATGGGACCTGGAGAATTATTCTAATTCCTCCCCAATCCCATTGATAAGAAGGAAGAAGGGTTGCTGAAACAGAGAAGATCACTACCCTGAGGCTACAGGGAGTGGACTGTTTTGTTTTCAGAGCCTTTTTCTACACATGCAAGCCACAAATATGTAGCTACAATGAGAAAAGATGATAGACCATCATCATTAGGTAAGAAGTTACCTTAACAAAACCAAACATAAAAGAATCCACTCAAAATCCACAGACTTTTCAAAGTAAAAACAGTGCAATACCCCTCCCCCACACTATGTTAAAACAAAAAACAACCAAACACTCACTTTTTTATTTCTCGGAGGAGCATCCGAATAAGGATGGCCTGCAGTGGCTCAATCATTAATTTTCTCCACATATCAAGAGCTAGCTGTCAGGACACAACACAAGTTTACATCAGTAAAAAGTACAAAACCAAACAAAAAGAAACCCAATGAAACCCAAAACAATATCAAAGATGACATCATTTCTCATTCAGGATTTTAAAAATTAAATTTTTAGATAACCTTCCTCCTTTTTTAATTCTTTTGTCATTCTCCCCTCCCCACCCCCCTCTACCCTGCCTGTTCTCAATATATTAATACATTATTTTCACATTTTTCTTCCACAACATCTGACTGCATTTGGATGAAGATCACACAGATCTGTACACTAGTAGTGTCAGACATAGAATTTCTAGTCAGGCAGTATCTAAATGCATCCTTCCCAGCCTACATTCTTCCTACACAGCTGATAGAACTGATTCATTCCTTGGTTCCACTCCATCAAGTATTCTCAAATGCATATAAGGACCCTAAGCAAGCTGGTTACAAGGGTAGATTTTGAGTGTACTTATGAACAAAACATCTGCACAGTAGTAGGTAAATAACACACCTTTCCACCTGGAGAGTTTGAATGTGCAAAAAATGCAGTATTTTTAACAATGATGGTAAAATAAGCCTCAGCTGACAAAAGGGAATGTCTCCCAGCCAATTTGTCAGGAGTCAAAGATACAGAATCCTTTCATCCAACACACAGAGAGTATCTCCAAACTAAGATGCACACAGCTTAAGCAAAGTCACTGGCAAGCTGTTTGACTTCAAATGGAACACAAATCACCTTCATATTACCGTTAGCCACCCTATTGCTAATGTATCATTAGAGGAATCAATCAAATGGACTCAATTATCCCAAATTCTTGTGGTGAAGTAATTGCTCCCAAAATATACCATTTTTAAAAAACACACCTGCAATCGTTCAAACGAGCTTTTACACTTAAGTCAAAATCAGATGTAAAGCCCAAAGGGGATAATGTGATCCCTCATATACACGTAATAACCACACATATAAGACCTCCAAAAACACCTACTAGTGAGTAGTAGACTGGGAAAAAATTACACTGCAAAATTTAGTGAGGACAGAGAGAATATTGCTGCTAAGGCTTTGACACAGCAGGTTTAAAAATTAAAATATTAATCAAGTATGTTTTAACTGAAAGCAGGTACATAGCTATTGAGTAGGTATCCAACCTGATCCACTCTGTGAAATAAATCTTCCTTTTAAATAGCAGACAAACTAATTTGCTCTGACCAGCTATTCAGAACTTGTGCTGAAATACAGGGTACAGAAGGCAAACCTGACCCAACTGCGTCATAAGCAGGTTAAAGAAGAGATAAAAGTTGGCTTGTAAATCAGAAGACAAATAATGTTTTGAAATCAAAGTTGTCCTAGGAGTGATTTTCACTGTCGCACCTGTTACAGAGTAGTAGCAGAACAGTTAAGTTTCCCTAAGACAACAGCAATTCATCCAGCAGAGAAGACTGAAAGAAGCCAGCTCTGAAGGGAGAGAAAAGGGTGGGAGGAAAGAAAAAAAAAAGAACTGACACCTTTTGTGCCTATGAGGTGAAGAGAAACAACCTCAGGTAGATCTATTCTGCAACGTGGTTTCTGAAATGTGGTCTCTAGCGTGGTCCTTCTCATATACAAGCTACCAATCTGAAGCAGATTCAAGTTGTCTGCTGGAATTTTCTTGTCCAATAAACTACAGACAGATCAATCTGGTCAATCCAGCAAGCCGATATATTAGTTCAAGACAGTTTTTCCTCCTTGAAGAGAGGAACTGACCTTACTTCAACTAGACTGGTGATACAGAATGTGGCAATATTCTCCATTTTCCAGAATCTGTTTCTGAGGGAAGAAAAAAAATTAGAAGGCACATCTTAATTACCTTCTATTCAGGGCGCCCATGGAGTTATCGAAAACTCAGGAATCTGAAATTGGTGATAGGGGCTCGATTCAGAAAAGCAGTACCCTTCACCATGTATCCATAACATAAGAGAGGAAAGAAGCAATCTCTTGCAAGCACTGGCAGACTATTTTCACCAACTGATCTCATCCTCTGTGTTTCCTAGGACAACAATTTCTGAATGTCTGGAACACTTATCGGGATGCTGAGCTGTTTGAAGCCATGCCCACACACTTCACACACCCACCTCCGGTCTTGGGAACGTACCTATTGTTACACCCCAGAAGAACTAAGCAAGCATGTACTTGTCTAAGGTTACTGAAAAGCTCTCAAAGCTGCATTAGCACACACGAGTGATGTTGAGACAGAAACTTCAATACAGACAGTACAGTTTACAAATGCTAGGCATTACTTCTGTAACTTGATGCTGAGACTGAAGAGAACTATATATAAAATAAACATATTTGCTCTTGGGTAGATAAAGGCCAGATAATCTGAGTCATCTAAAAAAGGAGAAATGAAATTGCTTCCATTCTAAAGTGACAAACAACTGAAATACTTGGACTTTTGCTAAAGTCCCTTGTGCAATCCAGGGAATAAAAGATAGAATCCTACAGGAACTATTATTAAAGAGAAAATGCTTTCCAAAGACTTGAAATACTTGGTGAGTGTCTTATAGGTCAAGAAATGTGAACTGGAGCAACAAATTCACCAAAAACAGTGCTGCAATTTAATACAAGAGTGTAGGACTCAAGTCTCCATTACTTTTCAGGACAAACCTAATCCTACATCAGTCATGAATAGAGATTAACTTTACTGCCTCAAACTCAAATTTTATCTCCCCAGATTACAAAGACAGTATTTATTACAGAGAAATGGAAGGAGTCTTGTGGAGTGAGGTAATGAAAAACTCATTAGTAGAATTTCAGACATTGTCATCTGAACACCTTCATCAAAAAACAAAAGGCTGCCAGCTACAGCTTAAGAATCTTGATCCTCTCCATATCCTGCCCAAAAGATGAGCTAGGAATGTATCCTCCTTGGAACAATGGCTGGGAAGCTTGAAGAAAAGTGTGCCACTGCCCTTCTGTCCCACTCAGGATTCCACAAACATGAAAAAAATTGAATACTCAAAAAACCCAAGTTTATCAAGTCTGATGTTTGTTCTTCTTTGGTAAACATTAACTAGGGCAGAAAGCTATGGACAAAAGTTGCCACTACCATCCTTTGGGCAATACCTCAGAATGGAGCAGCACTCAAATGGGGAGAATTCATTAATACATCAGCATCACTCAAGAACAATCCCAGACCTATTCCCAGCCCCCAAAGCAGCTGAACTAACAGTCACACACATAGGACTATGATTTACCTCTGACAATCATGGGAACACGCTGTGCTAAACCTCAGTCTGAGGAACTAAGGAATAACATTTATGCCATTTTGAGATACCATAAACAGTGCAGCAATATGCACTTCCAAGCTCTGATAAGCCTTTATAGACGTCACTAATAGCAAGCCTTGGAGACAGCGTAGACAGAAGAGAGAAGAATTTCCTTCCCTAAAATGCCTTGATTTAAAGCACATAATGCTTCTGGAATTTGCATCAGCCCATCCCCAACCTGCCACAGGATTAGCAATTTCAACTGGCAGTGAGTGCCCTCTTCATCAGCTAGGTCAGAAGTACAGAAGGTGCTTCCTCATGCATCACAATCTCTCCTTACTCTTAACTAAAGGCAACACAGATCTCCTGCTTCAAACAATGAAATCAAAGAGCCAGAACTGTAATCACTGACAGGTCAAGTTCTGACATTAAGGAAAAAAGCAGCATTTTCTCTAGCCTTCCAAAGCAAAAGAGAAGAGGTATTCACTTCCTACTGTAGTGAAAAAGGCAAATGTAGAGAGGAAAGGAAAAATATAAGATACCAAAACATATAATAACAGAATAAATTCTCCAGCTAGCAGTGTGTGTACATATGGACCCAAAGCAAACATACACACACAAGCATTCAAAAAACAAGTTGGTACTCAGCTGTATTCAGAGCTGTGATTTTATCCTGACGCAGACTGAAAAAGTATTTTCAAAATCTTTTTAAAGACATACTGAAGCACTGTAGCTTAAAGAATTCTTCTTCCTTAACTGTAAAATTGTCTTTTTGCTTTATTGTCTTATACTTCATGGTAGGAGTAGCCATCAAGTGACAAACAACACAAACCCCACTTCTGCATAGTTGCAGTGCATGGAGTGAAGTCTCAGAATGTAGTCCTACTGCTGACAGGATTTTTTATTTTATAAGCATTTAAAAATTACTCTCAGCCTCTCCATTAGTAACTGTGACAACACCCTTGTGCCTGCCACAAATTACTTCTTTTTTTAAAGATAAACCCTCCCTACATGACACTTTTGTGCACAGAATACCTACTTTTTCTTTTAAAATTTGAGTTGAACTGAAGTTCAAAACAGCTTGCATTAGAAAATAAGATGTGCAGAAGACTAATCTCAAAAAAAAAGCTTTTGTACCTTGTGTCATCAAGAAATAGAAGCCTAAAAGTAATATTTCAAGGGTTTCCAAAAACAAAATTACTGCTTCCTCAAAACATTTTCTTGATAGTAGTGTCACCTAATAATCCAAAGTGTGTTTGCAAGTTATCATATTTTAAAACTGAAATTCTCCAATAGTTTTCATATTTGCTTTTTTCGCCTGCCAGTATTTATCTACATCAAAACTATATTCTCATTTTACAAAGGGTTCAGTGCTTACATACTCTACAATATTCCTATTCTGTGACACAGAAAAGTCAAACTGTAAAAGGACAGAGCTGAACTTGCAGCACTTCTAAATACAGTTTATATCCAGCCCACTTTCAGAGATACCTACCTCTCCAATTTCCATCAAAGGTTCATTCATATCCACCCCTCCATAGCCATACTGAAGATCAGCTTCAGTCAATTTGTTCTTCTTAATAAACTGTGTGTTGAGGTACCTATAGAAATGAAGATATTCTAATCAAAACAGGCAAAAGTTCTTTTTTTTTTAATAGATTTGGAACTGTGGAATGTCTTTACAAAATATAATCTCCTTTAACCAATGCCAGTGCCATTTGTAGGAAAATCTGAAAAGATAAATTACCTCAATTTAAAAGACCTTACATCATATTAAAACAGTACAGTGTTGGTAATTGAGAAACCAAACAAGAGCCTGCTATATCACTGTCAGCATTTTCTTGGTGAGCAATACACTTGTGTAGGAATCCAACCTATCTACATGCACTGCCATATTAACTCATACATATATATGCAAAATAACTGCTAAATTCTGAGCAGTTGACTAGTATTAGATTGATAGTGGTTTATCTATTATTAATGATAGAAAAACACTCCTGAGTATGAGATATTTTTAAGTTAAAAGTATTTTCTCTACTTCTATTATTTATTATTTTGCATTTCTCTCAGATTGAAACACGGAAGTAGTGTCAATTTTAAGAGGGCAAACATTTGTCAGTTATGACCCCTGACCCAGGTCACGATAACTAGCAAACAGCTAAATTGCAAATTTTATAGAAAAGAATTTGCAGAAATTATTTTAATTAACAGTGATAAAGAAGAAATGTTATAAATGTTTATTTTTTTGTATTCAGTATTTACTATTGTATGCACAGTTTTTATAAATAACAGAAAATGGTTTCTGTGCAAGACCTGGGAAAACATCCCTCTTGATTCCCAGTATTTCCATAAAGTAAATACTATAACATATTTAAACTGCACAAGTCTCCTTTCCCTGATAACTGGGAAAAATTCTAATATTGTTCATAACTACACTTATAATATTTCTTATGTTAGTGCTTAAATGAGACAACTGAGAATGTTTTTTTAACTTCTGATCTAACCAGCAGTTTTGAGATGCCCGGTTTCAGACACTGAAAACAGCCAGCACTTGAAGAGATTCAGTGTTCAGAGGTTGCACCAGACTTGTGATGCCTGAACACTCTGGGCAGGAAGGCAAAAGCCAAGCAAAGGAGAAAAGGAGAAACACGCTGTGAAAACCTGTGAACTTGAAAGAATTTAGGACACCACAGAGTCCAAAGAAGGAAAACTTGTGACAGTGCAGTGATGACAAACTGGAATACAGTGGCCTAACCTACTTTTAGACTCTTACAGAGAACTGTAAACCCCTCTGCTATCATTGATAACCATCACAAACTGTAAATGCAGGTCTGTGCAGAAGGCTACAGGCTCACTATCATACATAACCTGTAAGGACATCCACAAGAGTTGGAACACCAGCCTTAAGCAGGCATGCTCCTTGATGGTACTTTTCCCAGTCTCCACCACGTGAACAAAGCCAACAGCTGCCAGTCTACTTTTCCTTGTTAAACTTGCTAAAAAGGAAAGCCCTGTGCTCTCCTCACTCACACCTTCTCTCTCCATCAGTACATACAGAAAGAGAACCAAGACTAGCATAAAGAACTAAAAATTGCTATACATTGATATGCTGGTATTATTACAACTGCTTTAAAAAAAAGACAAAACGGAACAAAACAAAAGCAGCACTATGTGTGTTTAGATTTTAGGATTTTATTATGAGCAGATTTTAAAAAATCTGGTTTTTTTTTTTCTTTAAATCACTTAATTTCAATTTGCTGGATAAGAAAACCCTCCAATTAATTGAAATAAAAGTACACAAACCAGATTTTTTACAAGTATCTATGAAAACAGTTACAGCACCAAGACACTGATAAGCTCTAATGTCCAGCATTGTTTTTATCTATTATTTTTTATCATCAGAACTAACCAAAACAACTGAAGAAGGTTCTTTAATATCAACTGTTTCTTATTCCATCAGTTTTATCACCTATATTTAGAGTCAAGCATACATGGGATTTTAGTTTTCAAACTGAATCCAAATTTGTTTTCCTAGCAAAATGCACCCAGGAGGGTGGGTGAAAAAAAACCCAAATCAAAATCAACACCAAAGAAAGAAAACATTTGTCTCATTTGCCAGTCTCGTGATTAGTCTTGCATTTTATGAATTTTGCTCAAAAGTGTCTTACATTTTAGTAGTGCTTCAAATAGTGCCTAGCAGGTTAGAAGCACAGATGCAAGCGTACTCAAGTCTTAAAGGAATCTATTTTTAAATAACATTAAGATTACTAGCTGTAAAAAATCAATCCGTTTTCATTGCTGGAAGAATTACACAAATTAGAACCTGGGATACAACAGAGTCAACTAATTTATAGTATTTTTTTGAGAGCAGGCATGCAAGTAAGAAAAGAACTCGAACCACTTTATAAAAAGCAGAATATCTTCTTAAGGTCTTCAGAAATACTTTCATCCAAAACATTCTGTCAAAAAACAAAACATATTCCCTCCTTGCAGAAGAACCCCTAGGACTATGACCTAATTCACTGCAGGGTTGATTAGCACCAATACATTTGGCACTGCAACATCAGGTAGAACATATTAGTAATGAAAAAAGAGTAGGAACCATCTTAGATAACTTACCTGCTGAGGCATTATTCCCTTTTGCTCGTGTTCTGCTACTATAACTATATTCTCTCCAAAACTGACCTGGGGCATATTCATCTATTGCTCTCTTTAAGCAACATTCTTCAACTTAACCTGCAGATCGTTGTAATAATTTCAAAAGTTTAACAGTTCTTTTGCAAATCTTACCTGTATAAACAGTCCATATAGTCTGCCCCTTTGCTATACTCTTCCCAGTATCTGTGATACATAACCAGTACTTGTTCTTCAGCTTCCAGAACTCTCTGTGAAGGCACACCCCCCCCACTAAAATTAGTATGAAAATATCATGCATACTCAGAAAGTTATAATGGGATTATCATTTTGGAATAGCAATCACATATTCAGAATTGTTGCATTGTTGCAATGACCAGAAAACTAACATATCTTCACACTGCCAAGTTTTGGTAAACCAGCTACACCACCTGGAGTTGCTTTATTTTGCATTTAAAAACAACATCCTCTCTACTGTATTATTTTCTACTTATCTTTTCAAAAGTACTTGCTTGAATACGCATGGTTTGTATTTTTACATCATTCTAGTGAGATAACTTGCATAAATATTCCCTCATTGACACATCAGTTTTAAATACACTTAGCCACATGCACACTGGAGGAATTGCCTAACTATAACCATTTAAAACCAGTGTGCCTTACTGGATAGACAAGCCCTTATACTTACCAAGAACCATGCAACAAAGCAAGTTTACCAAAGCACAGATACATATAAACATAAAACACTTTTGAAGTTCTGCTAATCTAGGCCCATATCTTTTGAAATTTAAGGTAATCATCAACTAAAAAGTTGCTGATGTACTCATCTTCTCAAAATATTTATACTTCAAAGAAATAAGTTCAACAATTTCAACTAATTATTATGAATTGTAAGGGAGAATATGATCCTAAGAACTCAAGTATAATTCTCCCTAGAGTTTGTAATTATAAAATCTGGCTCAAGCAGCAATGAAGTCTATGTAAAAATTGGAAAAAAAAGTAATAAAAATGTAAAAGAGGAAAGCTGGTAGACAAAACAGAATTGAGAATGCCTTCTGCTGCAGAATGCATTTTGCAAAGCTCTTCCAACATTATTTCAAAGACAAGTGGTGGATGGCAAATTTAAAAACACGGATGTGTGCTTTCCGCTACTTCCTGCTGCTTCTACTGTGCTGGCACCTGCCTGATTATCCAAAGTGAGCTCATTCAGCTCACTAAATAATGAGGAAGAACTTTTTTGGCAGAGCTCTCTGCTAGTTTAGTGAACTGATTTAGTCTAGCAAAGTGTCAGAATTATCCTCTCTGCAACCAGTGGAATTACCCACTAAGACACGCAGCCCATCTTGTCAAATACTCAGGTACATAAGCTCAAAAAATAGCACCAAGCCATTTAGCAGCACTATCCAGAATTTGCAGAGCTCTATCCCCTCTAAAGACACTTAAGGCAGGCAGGCATCTTATTTAAATCTACTTCTCTTTTTATTGATATACAAAGAGACACTGTTCATCCATCCTATCTACTCAACATGACAAACCATGATTCTGATGGAATCCACTGTCTTAGCCGATGAAACAGAAGTTAACCCAAAACTATACAGGTATACAAATATTGTTATTTGTCATAATAAATAATTTGCCATTACTTTCTCCCCTCCCAAGCATTTTTGTTATTTCCCACATATTTCAGAAGTTGGTTGGGTTTGTTTTAGCAGAGTATATACAATCAGTTTCCAAGACAGTGCAGTAGATACTTTTCTGTTGAAACAGAAGGCTAACAACAAACTACGGTACGTTTGGAAAATTAAGACATTTCTGTAAATTGCTTGATAACAAGCATTCAACAAAAAAGAAAGAACTTTTCAAACCAATGAATGTATTATATAAACTGTAACGTTAGCTTAGAAAGAAAATTCTTTCTTTAGTGTTGCATAAACAGATATCTATAATATTATGTTGTGTGATATGTGTTACATATACCACATATATAAATACTGTGTCTCTGGAACTGTCATCTGCAATTTAGTCTCATAAAAACATACAAACGAACCCCCTTCCCAAAGTCAAAAAAGAACAAACAAAACCTACGTGCCCACCAGTAACTGTACATGTTACCTTGTGCAAATGGCGTACGTGATTTTCCAAAAAAATTTTAGTCTCAGTATAAAGTCTCTCTCCAAGAGGTTCAGGATAGGCCACACACAAAGCATAAATGTCTCTGGGCTCAAAGTCAAGGTTGGTATTAAAGTGTGAAAACATATCAACAAAATTTATGATTTACAGAACCCTTTTTTCTCACACACATGCAGTTTAGGTGGGTTTTGTTTTATAGTCAAGTAAAATAGATAAAATGGACCATTTTCTGAATTGGTGTAAGCACTACTTTGGAAGAATTTAAGCTAACAGCATTAATACTAAATTTTATATAGTGGATGATGAGGGAATGTTAGAGCTAAGATCCTGAAGCTTCTAGTAGCCCCACACTGATGTGGCTTCTACCACTTATTTGCCATCTACGAATAACATACAATTATCTCAAAGTGAAAAAGCAGCTTTCACACACAACTCTTCCTCTGTATTTGCAGCCAACACGAACTGAGACTCTTTTCATATAAGGGAAAGAAGCTTTAATTAGATTAAGAATGTGATTAGGCAAGATACAGAGCAGAGCAAACATCAGGTGAAGCTGACTTCGAGTCTTCCTTCCTGGAGTCCAAAACAATTTACTGTCCCTGCATTTTGCCCCCAACTCCACAGGTAAAACAATTTCAGAGGACACTGAAAATTCAGTAATCACAATGGTGGCGTGGATAAAAAAAAACTGTTTCATTTTTAACCATTATTATAAATTAAGTAATCCTGTTTAGATGACAGCCACACAAAACAGTTTTACTTGCTAACTTAAAGCAGCAAACACTTATAACTCTTAGGCTCATTTTCTCCTTAAAGTATCCTGCAGAGCTACGCCTTTGGTTTGCAACATTTATATCAAGTTTTAAGAGTTGCTTGATGCTTTGTCAGGAAGAGAATTTATGATTAAGAATTTTGCTTCCAGAAAAGTCAAGCAAGGATTAGGTCAAGCTTCACATGGGAAAATAAACTAATTCTGAAAAAATTAGTTTAAAACATCATGCTTTTCTACTAAACCAAGGCATTAAAAGACCAGCCATACTAGAAATACACTTTATAAAACCAGTCATGTTAGAAATAATGATTTAGTAGATTACTTTAATTAAAGGAAGACATAAGATCTGCTTTCCTCTTGTTTACCACAAAAAAAGCACATGCCCATGTAAAAGGAGGTAAAGGACACAGACAGTTGACAGCTTAGTCTACAGAGCAGTGTCAAGTTCTCATCTCACAGCTTTCTCCAAATGCATGTTTAATTTTTAATATACTCAAACCAAATATATACTACCAAAAAAAAAGAATCATAGAATCAGCCAGGTTGGAATGGACCTCTGAGATCATCAAGCCCAACCCTTGATCTACTACCGCTGCGGCTGCTAGACCATGGCACTGAGTGCCACATCCAGTCTTGTCTTAAAAACCTCCAGGGACAGAGAATCCACCACTTCCCTGGGCAGCCCATTCCAATGTCTGATTACCCTCTCTGTAAAGAAATTCTTTCTAATATGTAACCTAAACCTCCCCTGGCACAGCTTAAGACCATGCCCTCTTGTCTTGCTGATAGTTGCCTGGGAGAAGAGACCAACTCCCACCTGGCTACAGCCTCCTTTCAGGGAGTTGTAGAGAGTGATGAGGTCTCCCCTGAGCCTCCTCTTCTCCAGGCTAAACAACACCAGCTTTCTCAGCCTCTCCTCACAGGACTTGTGCTCCTGTCCCTTCACCAGCCTTGTTGCCCTCCTCTGGACCTGCTCCAG